CTAATAGACAGAATCAGGAATGCATGTGATGAAATAAGGCCTTATTTGAATGATGCTATACCACGTTCGATCATTCGTAGATGTGAATTGTGTATTGAACAATTGGGTTTACATTTCGAGCAACTACTTTAGATTTTGTATGTTTGTCCTAACTATCCAACAGCATTTTAGTTGTAAATAATTAATTTAATTGTTAAAAATTATATTGGAAAATTAAACAAATTAATATTCTGTTTTTTTGTTTATTTGGAGTTAGGAATTATTGCTGTGTTTGAAAACACAATCTAAACGATCATCTTAATTCCTTGTTTTTTTTTTTTTTTTTTTTATATCGAAACAGCCGCGCAGGCAGAAGCCTAAATGCCGGAACACCGCGGCTGCTATGATGATCCCAAAGAAATTTTGTTAATACGATTTTGAACTGCCTAAGGTTAGTAGAACTGGGAAAAGCTTCCTCCCGTAGTTTGTTCCACAATCTAGACACCCTCGGGACAAAGGAGCGGTCGTATCGGCCAGTTCTGGATGTACGAAGTTCGACACGGTTAGGATGGGACGCCGAAGTCAAGCGGGTCTGTCTGGCAGGCACATCGCGCGGCGGCATCATGGAAGAGAGCTCTGAGGAGCAAAGCCCGTTGGTGTAGCGATAGAAAAGAGCCAGATCGCCGACGGCCCGCCGGTGCGAAAGAGTCCCGAGACTTTCTGTTAGAGAAGAGTCATCGATCAGTCGGACCGCCCTCCTCTGAACAGCATCGAGCACGGACAATGTAGTCGGGCGGCAGCACCCCAAATGTGTGAGCAATACTCGAGGCTAGGCCTTATCTGGGCCTTGTATAGAGTGAGAAGGTCATGCGGAGAAAAGTACTTCTTAGCCCTAAACAAATAGCCTAGCTTTTCCCAGCAGCTGCAGCTATTGAAGAGATGTGTTCGTGCCAGATCAGGTCCTCGGTGATCTGGACTCCGACCAGCCGAAATGAATGGCTCTTTGGTAGGACTCGACCGTCCATCGAAACTGTATGAGCGCTAGGACGCTTTTTGTTCGTCAAAGTACAATACTGTGTTTTGGAAGCATTGAACTGTACAAGATTGTTGCGTCCCCAAGCAGTGATAGCCTCCAGGTCTCTTGTCAGAGAAGAAGTCGTCGCTAGTCTTCTTTTTTCCAGCTCAGCGGCAGAGATCGGCTTGTCACTCTGAATTCCTGCATGTAGAGTGCTGTCATCAGCGAAGCTGTGGATTGGGTTGATCGTGCAGGAAAGGAGGTCGTTGATATGTAAGAGAAACAGTGTTGGAGCCAAGACCGATCCCTGGGGAACACCCGCGTTGACGTTGTGGGATGAAGAGGAGAATCCGTCAATTACGACGGATATCTTGCGGCCAGAGATAAAGTCAGCCACCCATCTGCAAAGCTTTTCTGGGAGGCCGTAGGATGGAAGTTTACTCAAGAGGGCAGCGTGCCACAGCTGATCGAACGCTTTCGTGATGTCAAGAGCAACGACATGAGCCTCACCATGAGACTGGATGAGTTTACTCCACAGTTGCGTGACGTAAGCTAGGAGGTCCCCTGTGGATCGTTGGTGCCGGAAACCGTACTGCCTGTCGCTAATCAAGCTGTGACGTTCGAGGTAGTCCAGAAGCTCGCGATTTATGCACCTCTCCATCACTTTACTTATAACAGAAAGCAGAGCTATAGGCCTGTAGTTGTAAGGGTCGGTTTTAGATCCTTTTTTTGGGATGGGCTGTACATGAGCAAATTTCCAGTTTTCTGGGAAGGTGCCGGATTCATAAGATATCTGGAAGAGACGCGAAAGAACTGGAGCAAGCTCAGCTGCACATCTCTTCAGTACAATGGCAGGAATCAAGTCCGGACCAGAAGCTTTGTTGATGTCGAGCGACAAGAGCACTCGTCTTACGGTCTTATGCCTGAATGTTACCTCCCGCATAGTGTGGGGAACCCTTTGAATTGACGGCACTTGGGCGTTGGGGGGACGTCCATGGTGGAGTTGGCAGCAAAGATCTTGGCTAGCACTTCCGCCTTGGCCTTTGAGTCGAATACAATAGTTCCATCCTGACACGTAAGTGGTGGAAGGCTACTGTGTGAGAAGTTCTTTTCAATCTGCTTGGCCAGCGTCCAGAAAGACCGACTGCCATTGCGCTGTGACATTACCCTGTGCCTAACGTTTTATATCATGCTGGGTTTTGACATTGCGAACCGCTTCGTTTATATTGTTTCTGGACTCGACGTCGCTTGTCTGTTCTTTACAGTGGGGTTTTGTAAGTAGGGTTCTGTGGGCCTTGATCTTCTGCTGGTGAGCAGTGTCACACGATTGTTGAACCAGCCGTTGGACCCTGGTTTAGGAACTTTCACTGTGTGAGGGATGTATTCCTCCATTCCGACGTGGATAATTTCGGTTATTGAAGAACAGACAGTCGACGCATCCGCGTCAGTGAAACAGACATCTCTCCAAGGAAAGCTAGAGAGAAGTCTCTGAGCCCCTCCCAGTCGGCATGTCCGTAATGCCAAGTTTTTGCGGCCTGTGCGAGTTTCTGCGGCCACAGCGGCTTCTGACCGAACCTAACCTCCACAACACCGTGATCTGAGTTACCAGGGGGGACAGGACGGCAGTGCTGTAAGGGGGCAGGATGCGTGGTCAGAAAGAGATCCAGCAGGCTACTGGCGTGTGACGAGACGCGGGGGAAAAAAGTAGGGGCTCGTCACCAGCTGGGTCAGCCTTGAGTAAGAGCGAACGCTTCGACTGCACGACCTGCTGCATCGGTCTTATTTGAGCCCAACCAAAGCTCATTATGGGCATTGAAATCACCGAGAAGAACTACCTCTGAAGGGGTGATTGATGTTCAGGAAGTCGATCTGGACGGCGAGGTATTCGAGTAGGTCATCCCAGTTATGGTTCGAGGGAGAGCGATAAAGGCAGCAAATAAATTTGGGTGATGTTTTGGAGTTGAGGCGAAGCCACAGAATGTCCTTCCGGTCTGATTCCAAAGAAAGATCCCTGGAGCAGGAAAGACTGCTGCGGACAAAAGCCACAACTCCCCCGTTCTTTCTCAGATTGGAGTGCACCTCGTAGTTTGGGAAGTTGAGATGGTTATCGGTGCAGTCTCTGAGATTTTGTCTCGCCAA